TTCTGTCAATGTAAGTTGTTTAAGTTGCTTCGTTTTTTTGTGTTAATACTTTCTCTTTAATTCTCTCTTCTATAAACAGACATAATTTCTTGTTCAGTTACAAAGTTCCACAGTTCAAATTCTGTAATTGCTATGTCAAGAATACCGACTAGCTTGTCAATCGAAATTTTTTCATTTTCAATAACCTCTCTGTCACTTTCTTCACTATCGGACGCGCGCATGTGTTAATGCTTTACTGGCTTCATGCGCTTGCGTAGCGGACGTGCACATTAAATGCGCATGCGTAAGTTTGTGGCTTTGAGGTCCGGATTATAGATCATTCCGGATAACGGGCGTCCGGATTACAGACTTTGTACTGTAATGCATTATCAATTAATATTTTCACTTTTTTTTAACATTCACCTGGGTTCTCATTTAATAAATGTATTAATCCTGTCACCAGCAGCATGGAATTTTGGCTCTTTAATTACACTGTCCATTTGAGATTTACTATAAAAATATTTCCTATAGTGAAATTCATAATTTATTTTTATTTAGTGTGCCAGTTTCAATTATTTCACTAAGCCATACAATTTTAAAATCATTTTCTGTTTTTCTTCTTTTCATGGTTTATATATAAATAAATGTATGAAGATACAGAACAGTGCATAAACACATATATTGTTAGTTACTCTTGTAGAAGATAAACTACAAGCTAGTCGTTGTTTAACATCATGCATTTTACTTATTATCACATTAGGAGATGGTGAAGCACAGCAGTATAGTTTCCTGCAGCTGTATGGCACAACACAGGTGCACACAATAAATACCAATGAATATGATTTATTTAAAAAGTACTGTAAAATGTAATTGTTATTATTACTATTATTTTGATTAGTAGCATTATGGGTGTGTGCTAATTTTTTAAAGGCTTATGCCCATACACACACACATAGCATAGAGGGAACAACTCTGTTTAAGTTTTCCAAAACTCTGAGTTTAGCTTCTAGTTTGTCATATAAAGCTGCCAAATTGGCCTTGGTCATCCAATAATAGCATTCTTCTTAACTAAGCTTAATAAATCTGAATAAACAAATCATCTCTTCTAAATCATTCTTTTTTCTATAGCCTTTGGGTAATTCTCCATTGTTGAAAAAAACTTTGAATTAGATGTTCAGTTTTCAATTTTTTCAAAGTTAGCAATATCTAACACACTGCATTAAATATTGCATCTTATCTTCATTAAGCATAGACTTTTCTTTAAAACATTTTCTGGAATAGGCTTTAGAAGGTCAAGAAATCCTTTGGTTCACCTGAAAATTTCTTCAATTCGATTTTCAGTTATTTCCTATTTTCATTTTTAGCTGCAGCAATTTCGTTTTCAATTTAGCATAAATTTCTAAATGTCTGTCTCTATAACTTTCAGCTTTTTTTCAAAATCATCAGAGTATAGTTTCTCACCATCTTTGGTCTTCAGTAAGCTTTCTGAAATCAATGACTGACAACCTTTAAGTCTCTGGAACATGTCAATAAGTTGTAATTTTAAAATGGAAACCTTATTCAAATCTTTTTTTTTTTTTTTTTTTTTTTTTAAGCAGTATATTTTCAATTTTCTTCAGACTGGGAGTAAATTACATTCTTAGTCCCTTCTGTTGTGCATTTAAAGTATTCAAATCTATTTCCTGGAAATAACTCAATGTTCTTAAATCAAAGCATCTGTCCTTTCATGGACTGCACTTCTTATAGTGGGAACAAAATGCCAAAAATTAATTCAAAGTTTATTTCTACCCAATGCAGGGTGCTTTGTAAAGTTCATGAAGGCAAAATCATTCAGAGAACATGAAAACATTTTAGTGTTGACAACAGCAAATTCTTCTTCACATAGCTAAAATTAAAATTAATTCTAATTTCTCATATGATTTGAAAGCTGAGCGGGCAGGCATTGCATTTCCACAACATTAGCACCATTCTGTGCCAGCTTTAGTCCAATTCCATTCATAATATATAGTGTCTTTTAATGCGTTTTAATGGTTTTTTTTAATATATATACATATACAGTACTCGCTACTTATTAAAATCACCATTGTTCCAAACGTATTTGAGTTTACTAGTAAACAACAATTTGTGCAGTGCAAACTATGATATTAGTTTTAAACTTTTTATATAAAATAATAAACTAACATCTAATCCATTAATTAATCCTAAAATAATAATTAATACCAAAATGAAATTATTTACACAGTGTTTAAATCTTTTGTAAAAATATTTTTATAATCATATTCTTGATGAAATTTTATCTTTTACAAACAACTATGTTATCTGTATTTGTTTTATATTGTATAACAATAGTTTTCCAATTGTATTCTCAATTTCATAAAAATATTGACAGCTTTTTTGATCAGCACCTTTCAGTTGAAAAATTTTTCTTAGAATTTGCGCTGCTTTCCTAGATTCAGTTGATTGATGGCATATCATCATTTTTCCCTGTATTACTTTTGCAATCAATTTCTGAAGTTCTTTTAACACAGTGATCCATACATAGTCAGTTTTTTTACGCATTGTATCAATACTGTTGTGAACTGACATGTATTCTAAAAATGAACCTCAAAAACTTTCCTCATAGATCTCTGAAATGTATCTGTAGTTTGCGATTTCTTTGACATTTTTTATACATAAAAGCCACATTTTTAAAAACAGTTTTTAACTGGTTTTAAGAGAGTAACCCCTTGAATTGACTATAATATGGATGACTTCTAGCTGAGGTATCACTTTTCTGCTTCAAAGTGTCTTATACCTTTGGTGCTGGTCACACAACCAAGTTTCAAATTTTTTTTTGACAAATGACATAAATTAAACAACATTGACATGTGACAAAATAAGCTCTGGTTGACCATCCACCAACTGTAGGCAAATTCAATCAAAGCTCCTCTTTTGCTGTGATTATTAAGCAAAATACATGATTTGTTCCAGCTGTCATCAAGTGATTGCACAAAGGGTGCAGAAGGTAGACGAAGTCCAAACTGTAGGTCCAAGAGGGCAGGAGCTGATGGTGAAAGGGGTGTGACAGCTTGTCACATGAGCTGTAAGCAGACATGGCATTGGTTGCATGATTCCCAGGGAAATTCTGCTAAAATAACATATTTACAAAATTCAAAGCAAGTAACAAACAAATAATAATTCAAATTCTATTGATCGATCTATCAAATTAAACTATGGCTGTTATGTTTTGTTCATTGAAGAAACATGGTCCTAAAATCAGCATCCCACACCAAACATTCACTTTCAGGTTGTCCAGATTCACTTCAGGTTGGAACTTTAGCTAGAAGCACACCCAAAATTTTGTCTATTTGTCACACCTATTTGTCTTTCATAAGTTCTTGCTGCTATGGTAAGTTAGAAGTAAATTCTTGGTTCTTTTCAGTCATCAAGGTTTTCCTGCTTTTGTCAATAACCTGTATTGTCTTCTTAATTTTTGGTTCCATATTACACATTAATAATACAGCAACTTATTCCTTCAGTTTCTGTTTCACATTAAAATGTTAATGTGTGTTAAATGTTCTGTAATGTAATACAGTTTCATCTGTATTATAAATTCCCTGTGGCTTGTATTCACTTAGCAGCCTAAGTAAAACGTCCTTTGTCTAGGTATCAGCTATATGAATGATTCACCAATTCTTTCTCAACATGCAATTTTTGATGAACAGTGTTTGATTTTTCTTTCTCCATCTTATTGCCTTTCTCCATCTTATTGCTTCAACCGTATATTACTTGATATAAAATTCTTTTTTAGCGAATTAGTGTAAAATCTGTAGAAACAGAAACTTTTTTTAACTTTAAAGCTTGAAACCATTCTAAAAAAGCAATTTCAAAGTCTCAATTTTTTTAAGCTCTCCATTAATTATAAATCCTTGTTTAAGTAAAACTACACAATGCTGCTTGGTAAATTCTCAATTTGGATATAGTTTATCTCTGGTTGCAATTATTGAGAATATTAAAATTGTTTAACAATTTATCCTTTTCTTTCAGGCTTAAGTCTTTCTGTTTGGCATTTTCAACATGTTACAAATTAACTGTATAACAAATTTTAAAAATGCTTCTTTTAATGATTTATGTTTCAAGACTTGCATTTCTATGCAACAAAGACTTCATTTTGTCTATCAAATTGATCTGCTACTTCATAATTTTAAGGACAACTAATGCTTTCCGTGCCTTTTCTTCAGCCTACAGTTACAACTCCCTTTCCATTTAAAGACTTTTACTTTATATAGTAATACTTAGAAGCCTTTCATGAATTTCTTATAACTCTTTTTGAACATAGTTTGTCTGTATCAAAGAGAAAATTTTTAATGTAGAAATCTTAAATGATGGGATTCAGAAGTTGAAATTCCACCTTCTTTCAGCTAGTATTTGAGAGGGAACCTTCACTCATTTACAATGCCTTGATTGTGTAGGATTGTTTTTGTTAACATTAAGATGAGGAAATTCTGCCGCTGTAAAAATCCATTGTGGACAAAGAATCTGAAAACAGCGTCTCACATATACTGAGCACTGGAGGGTAGGAAAATTTAGTCAAACCCATTTAATTGAAGCAATTCATACCTGAACAACAAAGCCATGGTTCACAATACATTAGATATATGAACTAAGAAAGAACTTTGATAAATGCGTGTAAGATATTCAGGCACTGAAGACTTAAGTCTTTTACCAATCTGAGTTTAATAAGAATGGAGATGAGTTTAATAAATGGCAGTTTTTCCTATTGATTAGTATATATTTGTTTTGGTTCCTGGAAATCTGAACATAATAAGTGGCTGAGTTTATTAACCAGTGAATTTAATAAATGGCCAGCTTCTATATGCCTCGTAAGTTTAGTCATTATACCTTAAATTGTGTGGTTAAGTCAAATATTTACAAGACCATAACCCTGTATGGTTTATTTTCTTTCTAGAATGTAATAAATTTTTTCCCTTTCTGTTTTACTTAGTTTTTAATCATTTTTATATTCTATAAAATGTTTTTAGGTCACAAAATTACAGGATCGTGTCAGTAAATGTAAACTTGAAGCACAAAGAGCAAAAGAAAGGTATGAGCAAGCATTGCAAGAAATAAATGATTATAATGCTAAATATATGGAGGACATGACTGTTGTTTTTGACAAGTGCCAAGAGTTTGAAGAGAAACGTTTAGACTTTTTTAAAGAAATGCTTTTTAGCATTCATGGATGTTTAAATATTTCAACAGATGCTGAGTAAGTTTGCCTTTAATCTTTTATCTTAATGTACTGAAATTCATTTAAATTTATCCAATTGTTTGTAAGATGGTTAAAAAATTCTCAAAATAAATATTATTTGATCTCGCATCTTTCTGATAAATTCTGTTATGCCAAGTGTATTATTTCTGTTGTATGATGAATCTTCCTGTTGAGATTTCTAATGCAGGAAAATTTTATTTTAACTGATTTCTGTAATGTATTTATATGTATTGTTGCAAGCTATGGTTTTTTTTTTATCTGTCTTTGAATAATTGCTCCACATAAGCAGGAAGAAATTGACAATATATTATAAAAATTAGCAATACCCAACATGATAAGTAACATTAAATACCATAAGGAGAATGTGGATGTTAAACAGTTCACTTTAGTGCATGAAAGAATAATCTCTAAATTAATTTAACTTTCTTTGAACCTTTAAATCTTGTAGGTGATTAGCAACTAACTTGGCCTAACTGTCAAAGTCATATGCATATAGCACAGCATAGACTTTAGCAAAATTCTTTTGTACGGCTTTGACAGTGTGTTTTCCCAAAATCTTCCAGAAAATCGCCAGTTGCAGTGCTATTCAAGTATATATTATATTAATTTTTTATCATATTTATGTATTCATTTTGCCAGTATTGCCATAGTATACAGTACAAAGTCCGTAATCTGGATGTCCATTATCCGGAATGATCTATAATCCGGACCTCAAAGTAACAAACTTTTTTTGTATGCTTTACGCATGCGCATTGGGAGAATGTGTCTCCAAATATGTTAAAAAATGCTTGGCATAATTTATGGCCAGCTACCATATTTCATGGTGAGGACGATGAAGATGATAGCCGCGAATTTGAAGGTTTTCGAACATCGCAAACTAAAGGTGAAATTTTCCAGTTATTGGATTTTGTAAAGAAATGTGGAGAAACGGTAATAAATGAAAATGATATAACAGAAGTTTTTCATTGAAACGACAATGCCCCAATCAATAATCAATTAATGGATGGCGAAATCTGTAGTATGGTTCTAGATCCAGAAAATACCGCTTCCGATAGTGACACAGAGGTTATTGAAAAGAAAAAAAAAAATTGATTGACAAGTTAGTAGGTATTCTCAACACAGCAATTACAGGACTTGAACAGTGGAACTTTGTAACTGAACAAGAAATTATGTCTGTTTATAGAATTAAAGAGAAAGTATTAGCACAAAAAACAAAGCAATTTAAACAACTTACATTGAAAGAAATGTTTAATAAAGTAAACAAATAAATATTAAGTTTTTTTTTTTTTTTTTTTTTTTTTTTTTGTAAATTTTGATACCTTTTATATCATAATTGCTCTTTATTTTATAAATTACAGTTTCATATTTTAAGATTTAAATTGATGATCTATAATGCAGAAAAAACCCTAATCCGGAAACGCCGAAGTTCCAACAAGTCCGAATTACGGACTTTGTACTGTATATTGTCTATATTTCAAGATTCATATTGTTGTATATATTCAAGATTAAACAAAGATTTTAACAAAGGATTCATGCAAACCATCTAAAGCTCACAGCTGGGAACTCTTCCAAGTCTCATGTTTCCTTTTCAGATTCTTCAGAGTTTTCTGCAACTAAGTTAGAAATATTTCGTCTTGACTATTTTCTGCCTGCACATTTTACTCTTTGGTGAAGAAGAATTTTATATGATTATATTGTATCAAAAAACCAGTTTCAAGCATAATGAATAAATGCCTTGCATCTTAATTCTCAATAATGATCACTAAAACTAGTTCATAATCACTAAAAGAAAAGCATATGAAGTTGATCCTTTTTGCCATTTATACTGTCTTCAAATTTTCTCTTCTGTTAACTTGCCCATTTTCAGATCATACAGGTTTCAGTGATTTGAGAAGCAGATGTTCAGGTTCTGTGTATTTAGATTTTCAAAATCTGTTTGGCCTGTAAGTCTTCCCTATCTTAAAACCGTTCAATTTATTTATTTTTTTATTTATATTTTTTAGAAGAGAGTTAACAATACAGAATTCACAGTAGTGTACAGAAGTCCACGTTCATTGTTAATATCAATCTGTTTTCTTCCACTGACATTTGAGTTTCATAAATTTACTTTCTCCCTAACTGATAATGTATTTTTCCAATAGATTTTTTTCCAGTTAAGACCAGAAAACTGTTTACATGCAATGTCAGAAAATGCAAAGTTCAGTTGAACTGACTGTTTACTTTAGTATATTACTTAGGTCCTGCTTCTGCCAGCTAAAAACTACTTACTGAATAGTATAATATTATAATCTCTCTGCTTCCAGATATATATAGCACTAAGCATTCATTAAGATATATGGCATTAAGCATTTCTTACTGAGTTAATTAGTAAAAAGGTAACAAATTACCTCTTAATTATATATTTAAGTTGATTATCTGCATACCTCTGATAGGAGTCTAAGATTTACTCTAACTAGTGAAAAGTTTGTCTGAAGTAATGGCAGCATTGATAACATCTGTTATATTAAAATAAATAAATAAATAAATAAAAAAGATTACAAATAAATTTTAAACTACAAATAACAAATTTTAATTTTATCTCTAATTTTTTTTAATTTAACCTGCTTATGTTCATGTATCTCCCTGTATAGAAATTATTTATTTAGTCATAAAATATCATTTCTTAAGTTTAATATTTAAATTAAAACAGAGTTAATATCTGCAGTTTTAATAAATAGTTTATGATAAATTATAAACAGGAGACATCTGATCTGATCTGTTTTGTGGTTGGTAACTTATTTTCTGGTATTTTAAAAAAGAAAAAGTATGTGACATATCTGCAGGAGGTGTTACTTTTCATGCTTCTCGTCAAAGGTTTTTTTTTTTTTTTTTTTTTTTTTTTTTTTTAATCTGCAAAGTTTTAAATGGTAATGATATTATAGCTGAGTTAAAAAAGTTATAAATTTAATGCCATTTGAAATATTATATAATCAAATTAAAAATGCACTGAATCAGTTTGCATTTGTAAATGCTGAAATTTTAGAATACTTTTGTTCATCTCATATATCTAAATGTCAAATCTTGTAAATTTCACATGAAATAAATTGCACAATGTTTTAGCTGTATTGGCTTCTGCAAAACTGTGTTTTGAAAAAAATCATTGAACTATGAACATCAGTCAACTGTGAATATATTATGCTATCGTTTTTTTTTCTGAAACAGAGCTCAAATGTACAGCTAAGTTTAATTAATAGTCTAAAGTCTATATATATATATATATATATATATATATATACTTAAGAAAATTTTTAATTTGTATACATTATGTTGTATTATCATTTTAATTAAATTTCAAATTAAATATTTTAAAGGCTTCCGCAGATTTATGAAGAGTACAGGCATAGCATACAAAATGCTGATGCAAAAAAAGATTTAAAATGGTGGTCCAACAATCATGGTGTTGGCATGGCAATGAATTGGCCACAATTTGAAGTAATTATACTATTAGTTATAAATATGCAGCTTTTTTAGTATTAAATATGAAATTTTTAACTGTTCTTATTTGATTTAAGTTATTTTCACTTATATGTATAAATTCAATTCTTATGAATTAAATGTAAAACATATAGTTTGTTTAATTTCATGTTCATTTGATGTTTGATGTGATTTTTTTTCCTTCAGAATTCTGTTAACTTTTGTTAATAAAAGAAAAATGATTAAAAAAGTATGAATTATATGTATTTCACTGTAATAATCACTACTATCAAGCAAAATTCCAAGTTTTCACCACAAAAGTTCTCTTTATAAAGTTAATTTATATTGTATTTAATTCCTTTCTAAATTTGGTTCCAAGTTATAAATAGTTTCTAAAATATAATTTTAATACTTGTTATATAATGTATAAAAATGATGAAGCACTATGGAAGTGACAAAATTAGTAGTTTTATTAAACAGCAACAGCATGTATTAAATAAATTTTTACTTTAAATTACTGTGATCAGTGTATAAAATTTTAGCTATTCAAATGCTTGGTGTTACAATTGCAGGAAGGAAAGGAAAATTTAAAAAGCTGTAAATCTAAAGAATTTTATATTTTGCAATATTTTTTAAATTAAGGATGGAAAAAAGTTCTAGTTTTCTTCAAAAAATAAATGTACCTAAGAAATGCTTTCATAGTGTCAGATTATTTGCTTTTAATGAAATAATAAAAATATTATAATGTTATTTTATATCAGTAATATTTCCAAATAATTATTAATTATTAATTAATTATTTTTTTAAAAATTACTTTCAAGTATTTTCAAAATTGCTTCAGTGTTTTTATATGGCTTAGATGCAGTAATCTAAGCAAGGTAAATTTTAGTTTAGCAAACAGATCAAGAAATTTCATAGTATAGTGACAAACACCAGAATTTAAACTTTCAGTATAGATAATCATTTTAGGAATTTGTTGCTAACTTCAGCAATTAATATTAGTAAAATTCTCTGTTCTGATGAGTGTATTTTTGTGAAACTATGTAGCTGATTTCACTGAATCATATGGAATATGATGCTTTTATTAAAGTTTTTTAAATGTTGTGATCCATCATTTGTATATGTTTTCCATTTGTATATGTTTAAGATTTAAGGGTTGAAAAGAACACTGTTTGAAAGCTTAACAAGTTCATAAAAGTGTAAGTAAGAAATATTGCCATATTCACAGGAGAAAATAATAAAATTTTTGGCTTATTTGTCATTATAAGAATACATAAATCCTCACATTAAAAAAAGCATTTTGTGTTTAATTTCTTTTGAGCTAAGGTAAATTTTTATATAGTTACATGATTATTTATGAAAAAAAATCATTTCCAGGTTTTCCTGTGTATTCTATCCCCTCAAATCGCTTACTTTAATGTAGATGTAGATATATTTACTATATATTTAATAGTCATCGACAGATATACCTCTGTTCTAGCTTTAATGTTTTTTATGTGAAACATGTTGATATGCTGCATAATGTTATAATGTGAATGTGGTTGTAGCTGATCGAGTTCATTTAGCAATGCTTTAATTAATAATTTTTTAATTATGTTGCTCCTGCATACATGTGTTGTTATGTTTTAACGTAAAACCTACTTTTGCTATTCTTTGCTAATAATAATATTTGTTTTGAGAAATAAAATTAAATATATGTTTTTGCTGTGTTTTGCTGCTGATTTTTTTGTTTTATTGTGAAATGTGCTGTTTGCTTTGTCTCAGGAGTATTGTGAAGAATTCCGTGATATTGGCAAACTTAAAAAGGGAGCTGTGCCTGAAAGTGGAATACTCTTGGTGAACCAACAAAAAATTGGAGAAGATTTGCCTGTAATAATTATTTTACTGTTTTTCTTTTAGCTGTCTACTCTTACTTCATGGCTTGCAGATCTGCTCTTGCATTAACTCTCTGTTGCTGTGAACTTTATTCTCTTCACACTAACATTTTTTTTTTTTTTTTTGTTTAAATTCTAGCTTTGTTTTTCCTGACTGCTTATTCTTTGCTCATTCCTTTTTGAATTATGTTATGAGTTATTGAAGGTTTTATGATTGTACTGTAATTCAGTTTCTTGGATATTTATTGCAATTAATTCCAATTTTTAATTTTAAATCTCTATACTATTTTATGTGTACCACATATTCCCTCTTATCCAGTTTCTTTTTAATTGGCTTTCCTCTGAATCAGATTTTCATTGCCATTTCTGAGAAATGCTGTGGTGCAGTGTACTCGGAAAGACTTATTATTTTATCCATAAAACTGAATTTGATTATAATGCTAAGTCAACTGTCAGTAACAATCATTGTCCCTTTAATTGTTATCTAAATCAATACTTTCAAATTTCACATTCCTGTTTGCCTTTCCACTTGAAATTCAATGTTTTAAAAAATATTTCAAACATTTTAAAACAAATATTTTATTTCAATGTAATAATATTATGGGTATAATGCCACATGCCTAGGTATAATCTGAAAATGAGGAAAACATTGTAATACATATTTTGACAAACTTGAAATAAAAGGTTGTTTTGTTTGTCGAATAACGCATTATAAACATTAATAAAAATAATTAGTATATGAATATTATATACATTTAAAAATTATAATTTTTCCAATATCATTTAAAATAAAGTTGTCGTAATTTTTTTTTCATCATAAATTCAGCTATGAATGCTTCCCAGTCTAATTTTTTAGCAGTATTGTTTTCATTTGAAAGTACTGCTTGGGTATCTGTTTTCATTCATCGTTGCACTAAAACAATTTATAATTAGTTTTGGTTTCAAAATATGTTCTTTTTTGCTGTAACAACATTTAGAGAAATGATACACAAGATTCCATAACTGCTGACAAGTCTGGGTATATTGACAGTCGTTACTAGAGGACATGTTTCTGCATGAGACTTTGCATCAGTTTTATTCTTCATCTGATTCAGTGATGTCAGTGTCATGTTTATTATATGATTGTATTGTTCCATAGAATTTTAAATGCTAATGCTAAATTTTAATTATGCTTTTAAAGCTGGATAAATTGGCTGGGATAATTGCCATAGGAGTACACTGGAACTGGGTTCAAGTATTTAATCATTTTTAATGAAACTGGAATTTCATCCATCAGAGCTTTTTTACAAATTAGATCCTATCCTTCTCTTTTTGTATTTTAATAATTGTCAGCTGAACAACTGTAAACCGAATTTCTAAGAAGTTGTTAATCAAGAAGGATAAAGTGTAATAACCAAGAAGTTTTGTCTATCGAGTTAATAGGGGAAAAAATCTGTTAAGCATCAGCAAGAAAATCAGTCTGATTTTTAACTGCGCTAGTCAAACTTGGACTGTGCTAATCAGACTGCATTAAAAGACCAATTAACAGCTAAATTTAAGAAAAAACAGTTTTGAGCTTAATTATTGTGTTTTGCTTGAAATTGAGCCTAAATTGAAATTTTAGTAAAGGTTTAACAAATAGTCAGTCTGAACTGTTTAGATAAAAAACAAGCACATTATATTTGTAGGAAGAGAAATAAAATTTTCTTTAAAAATTACATTTATTATTTTGCATTGTGTTAATTTATGTTCCCCTCTTAGTTGATCTAACTTTTAAATTACATTTCTATCTTGGAGTTTTATTTTTATTTCTATATTATATATTTCATTTCATAGCAATATTTTTTAATATGTGTTCTGTATTACTATCTGTTATTTAAAGCGGTTGCTTTTATTTTAAAAACTAATTCCTATATATAGATAAATCTTGTAATAAACCAGTATAGTATAAAAAGTTGGAATTTCCATTGTGGTAAAGTATTTTAGATCAACTTTTCTAAGCTATTAAAATTGTTCTTTCTTGAAGAGTCAGCTGAGGACAAACTATGCTGCTACAACATTGTCAGTCTTTGTGAATTCCAGTTGTTCTTACTCATTGGAGTGATAATGCTCACAAGTACTAATGCAACAATAAATGTTTAATCATAAATGTGTAATAAATCAGTTTTATCCCTTCTATGAAAGTCATATGTTTTCTTCAAATGTTTTTCATGTGTTGTTTTGTCGGCCCTGTACAATTCCTTTACTGATATAGAAGCAAAATTCAGAAGTATGAAAATGACTACTTGTTATGTTTTTGGCTTCCTAGGTCTTCAATCTTGTTATCCTCATAATTTTTATTATTATCTTCATTATTGAAAATTCATTCAACTATCGCATTATGGCATTTTCAGATTATCTTTAATTACGATTTGACGACAACTTAGTTAATTGGGGGGAATTCATAATTTTTTTATTTTTTTAAATAATATGTGTTATAATTTAGTTTCTGAAATTAATTTTTGTTGTAGGGTTAAAAAAATTCAACAAATTTAATTTTTTATTTTACAGAATTTCATGGCAACAATTTGTCTTACAATATAAATTATTAGTTTATATACTGCTCAATTTTTTTTCTAAGTATTAATAGAATAAATATTTTTGTTTTTTTTAATTAAAATATGAGTATAGAGAATATTGAAAATAAAATAATTTACTTAGAGTATTTGCTTTTGCAGTTTATATTGATGATTGATTTAGTAATTCTGCCTATGCAAGGCCCACACACATTTTTATTGCATCATGCAAAACATTTTCATTTTATTTTTTCTACAATTGTTAAAATCATCGTTATTCTAATTTGTTTTCTTCATTTTCAAAACATCTAATTTGTCTTCATTTTCAAAACATCTAATTTGTCTTCATTTTCTTAATGGACTGTGGCTTGCTTACATTTTTCTCGTATATTTGAATGACAAATTGCTTCCTTGCCCTCAACTAAATTCTCATTGTAGCTAAATCCTTGACCTCTGCAACTTTAATAAGAATTTTATTTTTGGCATCTATTCAGTATGTTGAATGATAATTTTATATCATTTATGATTATTTGCAAAAGTAACATCTTATGCTTCTCATGGGAGTGAGAAAGTTCATTTTTAAAGAAATATAATTTACCCATAGTTCGCATCTAAAATAAAATCTATCTAATGCTTGCATTGCCGGTAATCTCTTAATAGATCATCCATCAATTTCATAGGTAAATCAAGAATATTAAAAAATGCATATACTGGTCAACCTTGGTTTGAAGACTTCATGGAATATTTTTGGGCTATTTCATCCAAAACATCTATTTCATATTTGGTTATGTTGTAAAAATTCACAAGTGTTTTCACATTTGATGCAGCTTCCAGATTTACTAAATTCAGGAAAGTGTAGAAATTGTCCATTGTAACATTTCATCCAGTTTAATTAAAGGACTGTATCAACCAATAAATGGCATGTTCCTCTAAGTTTTTTCAACTGGTCTACTTTTATCTTTTTGTGAATAAGGATATCCATTTGCATTGCTTTTACATCAGCTAAAAGCCAAAATTTTATGAGTTATCGAGTTTTTGTTACCTCTACTGAACAAAGAGATATCTCATCTTTGTAGGGAGCAATTGTTCATCATGTGTAATATTTTCACCTGGTTATAATAGAATAAAATAATTCTCAGTAACGATATTCCTTCTGAAGCAAGAGCAAATGGATCAATTTGCTATCTTTGTAATCTAATTGACTTCAAGTCATAGCACACATTATTTCCAAAAATCTTTTCTTTCAGAAAGTCCTTTAGGGAGACAAAATGTGTTCCCATTAATTATTTTTCTCTTAGCTAAAGCAGTTAGCCTACCTGTTTCTCAAACATTTTGAAGAGGAAGTTTTAAGCAAATTTGCTGAAATATCCCCCTTCCACATTTTATGATCATTTACTTATTTCATCGTTATTCTAATTTGTTTTCTTCATTTTCAAAACATCTAATTTGTCTTCATTTTCAAAACATCTAATTTGTCTTCATTTTCTTAATGGACTGTGGCTTGCTTTACATTTTTCTCGTATATTTGAATGACAAATTGCTTCCTTGCCCTCAACTAAATTCTCATTGTAGCTAAATCCTTGACCTCTGCAACTTTAATAAGAATTTTATTTTTGGCATCTATTCAGTATGGATATTATGAAAGAACTTCTTGGAATTGGATGGTGAAATGTTTTAGAAATTTCTTTAGAAGAAACAATATAACTGCTTTTTGGTGAATTGGATACTCTTGGTATAGTTGGAATAACACAGTTCTCATCAGATGAAACAGAATAAATTTCTGTGTTTGATTCTTCATGAGAACTAATTTCCAAAGCAGACTTTCCATCAATTCATACCATTTCTTCTTTAGATAGATATTTCCTTACCACAGCTCTAAATGAGATGATTAATAAAGAAAAAATTAATTAGAAAAAGGAATCAGAAGCCTCAAGAATTGCAAACAAAATGAAGAACACTGACAGTGACACAGAACAAGGTGAAGAACTTACTGAAGCATTTAGACAAACAAAAGACCATGAAACTTGTTTAGGATTAATACCACTTTGGGGGCGGGCAACCCCACTTCAATTCTAACCAACCAGATGTTGAATAACATATGGCATGAAAATAAAAAGAAAGCCCAAACAAGTACCATCAAGATACTGATACATTAAATTGTGCTAGCTTTCAGTTATATAGGGACGAAGAATAGTCAAACTGGCCAATAGCTATAATTTTAGTATATTCATGAAAAATTAAAAAATACCAACACGTTTAAAATGAAAAAGACCATAATTTTAGTATATTCATGAAAAGTAAAAAGTTATACAAATTTTTTAAAAAGGAAATTTATTCATAGTGTTTGCAATCAAAATGTAATACTGTTAGAGGTGACCGTGATCTGAATATAACAAGAATTCCGTATTTTTTACTTTATAAAATCCACAATTTCACGATTTATTAATAATGTTGACTTATT